CTCTCTCTCTCTCTCTCTCTCTCTCTCTCTCTCTCTCTCTCTCTCTCAACTGGAAAGAAGCCAACAGAACAGAATATTCTCACACTTAGAGAGATATTGCATCCTAAAAGAGGAGGGGGGGGGGAAACAAGCATTTAAAAAAGAAAAAAAAGGCATAAACCTTTAGAGAATTACAGGATGGAGAAGGGGGAAAGTAACTATGCAAATTGCACCGTTACTATGTTCCAGGTTTTTAGAAGACTTTTGGCAATTTGACCATTTGGCTTTATCTCCATGTTTGAAGAATCAGGATCTATGAGAGACAGCCACCAGTGACCCCAGAATTAAGGCGTCAGAAAAGCCTGTTTTCTGAGCCTCCAGCGAGCTTCTGGCTCCATCCTTTTCTCACCAGATTGATTTGAGTGAACAGGATATATGCAACCAGAACTTCTTTCTTGGTCAGATAATGGTCAAGGGTACTCCAATTTGTGCCCCACTGAAAAAGAAAACCTTTCCCCATCTTCCTGATCCCCTGATCCTCTGGCCCTTTCCCACAAAACAACATGCATATCCAGCATCCTTCCCATGGACCTGCCCTTGGAAGGGAAGGAACATTTGATGAGTGTTTTCCATATGCCATACACATCTGACTTAATTTCCAAGTGCCTGCAGGTATGGAAAAATAAGATCATTTTATCACGATGCTCTTTTGATTCTCTCCAAGACCTGAAGGTGAGTGAGTAAAAGAGCCAGGATTCAAACACTAGACAGCTTAACTCTGAAGACCCATCTCCTTCCGCCTGTCTTTCAATTACCATATGCCATTTGTACCAGGGAAGGTGCTAACACAGACCGAGTATGACTCTGCATTAGATCTTTTGTGTGATATGAATTCAGCCTCCATAATTAGATGGAGGTGAGGGGTAACACTAATTTGCTTCTTCCACCATTTAAGTTCTAGACCTTTAGTTATTTATCCCCCTATCAAGGCCATGCCAAGTACCATAGCAGGGTTGGCAGATGGCAAACTTAGAGTCAGTAGCATCTTGAAGCTCTCCCCAATTGCATCAGTTCCGGAACCTGAGGCTCCTAGAATTATACTAACTGCGCTGAGATTTTCAAAAAATTGTGCTCTGTGCAGTCAGAAGCAAACTTATATGGAAATTCACAGTGAAGCAAAATAGAAAGCATATCTATCTTCAAAACTGCCTTTGTATTTATGATTTCATCAGGAAGGGCAAATTTATAGAAAGATAATGGTATCATTTGTTCTCAAAAGCAGGTTTATACCTGTGACTACATATGACTTAAGTTAGTTTAAACACTGTAATCTCCTTTCATGCATTTTTAAATTTTTAATTTGTGTTTAAAATATTTAGATGGCTTCCTTGTGCCCATGAATAAATAATCTTATATATGCATTTTTTTGCCCACTTAGCAGGAAATGATCTATATTTTCTTTCTCTTGGTGTCTTTCACATCTCAGCTTTCCTAGGATCTCTGGAGAGGAAACATGGACTCTTTCTCTCTGCTTGTCTCTTTCTTGTTCCAACTCCAGATCTATAAAGAACTAAGATGGTGAGTGGTCCTTAGGAAAGAGAAAGATAAGATCTGGAAGGGAAATCGGGGCATTGTGCAGATCCGGAAGGATGGGAAATGGGATGTTGAAGTGCCCTGAGGCGAGAAATGGCTCCTGGCCTCCAGCACTCTCTAGTCAGTTGCCTTGGGGTACAGGGCTGGTGCATCCAAGAAAATCTTACATTAGCTCTTTCTTTCCCAGAAAACAAGCGTCTACAATTATGAATAAAAATTCCTCCATGCTTCATCTGTACTGAGGGCCAAGGCTCCTTGTTATGACTGAATTCTCAAAATGAGCATGAAAGAAGAATGAGATAGAGGGAAAGGTTGGAGGCCCGGCACTGACAGAGCGTGGGACAAACAGTCGGAGTTCAGTGTTCAGACCACACTTATTTTTGTACAAGATACTCTAGTTACCAACATTAGATGCCTGATAGTCAGCAATCCCCATGCCCATCCAATTAAAAACACTGTTTCAACAATTAACAGCAATGGCAGAAAATTCCCTCTTGTACACGGTAAAGGGATCTTCCCTTTTCTGTTGGCATTCTCCAAATACCTCAGCAAAATAAACCTCATGGCAATTTGTGCAGAATGAAGTATGCATGCAGGGAATTTAAACTTATGGGTAATGTTCATGCGTCTAGACCCAGCAACGCTTATGACTTTCATTTTATATGCGTATCCTCTTCCTTAGCACTCAAAAAGCTCTGGGGAATCATATCACCAGCACTGCGGGAATGCACCTCCTGTCAGGGCAGAGCCTTTGTAAAAAGTATGTGCATGATAATGAAGGCTGAGACAATTCTCAACTCCTTTTTATTTTTCAAAAAAATAATAAAATAAAATAAAATTCTTTAGTGAAGCTGTCTAATGATGACAAAGAACTTTGAGAAACAATATATAATTAAAATAGGATAGGAAGAAATATTTTAGATTCTAAAATGGTTTATTACTTTTCTAAATAGTTCACTTTCTTAAACAAAAAAAGTGGAAAAACATAAAGTGATTTCAATAAAGGCCTATGTTTAAAAAAAAAGAAAAATCAATAAGTTAATTATAAAATTTGCAAGGGAGGGGACTAGGGAAATGGCTCAGTTGGTAAATGCTTGTAACACAAGCACAGGAATCTGAGTTTGATCTCTAGTACCCTCATAAAAAGCTATATGTGATGGCACGCTCATGATCCCTACACTGGGTCGGGGAGGCAGGAGGATCTCTGCACCTTGCCAGCCAGCCAGCCTAGATGAAGTAAAGAACTCCAGGCCAATGAGAGACCCTTCCACAAACATCAAGATAGGCGGTGCCTAAGGATCAACACCTGAGGTTGACCTCTGACCTCCACTAACATGCACACACATGCCCCCACCTGCTCCAACATACGACATGCACATGCACACACAGGAAATCCTAAGAAAATGTGTCCCACATCAATATGAATTAAACTTGACACTGTGCTTGATTTGCATGTGTCTCAGCATAATACTGTTTAAACAAAAATAAATGTATGGAAGCACATTCATTTGATGAAATTGTTTACTTGTCTTATTTTCTTTTCATCTTCACAAAATTCTTGTATGATATTAGGTAATCTTTTTGCAGTTTTACAAATGGGAGTTCAGGTTGACTTGGGGAAAACTTTTAAATATATTATATGGTTGTAATAAAAATGATATATGATACTGCACAGTGATGTCAGGAGCTGGACAAGATCTCCGAACTCTTCATATTCATTCTTTGCTCCTTCCACCAGGACAAATTTCCCACCAGCAAGACACCTTGGAGAAGTATGAGTAAGATCAGATTGAAGAATGTTACGATGATGTTTGAATGTGTGAATAGACTCCAACACCAGTGAATAGTGTTTGTCACTAGTCAGGGAGAGACTAACTAAACAAACACACACACAAACAAACATGATAGCTTCATAACCCAGAAAGGATTCCACAGGCTAGAACATAGACCAAAGGGGAAAACAACATTCTTTCCAATGGGATTCTATATCTACCGAGAACTCTAATTCCCCAGCTTGTAATCCACAGACATTGTTCCAAAGGTGCTGTTATTAAATATATATATACTGCTTGTTCTCTGCCAGATTCTAGAATTAAATTGGTTACTGTAAGCAACATGTACTGACTACTAATTACAAGTCAATGGTTTAGCAAGCTGGATCTACTGAGGTATGTCAGCCTCATTCACCCATGTTTCTGATGACCTGGTAATTTGGTTTGGATGCTAATTCACATGCCTGGCAAGTCATTGACTGTAAGCTAAGAAAATGGGATGTGTGGCTCACATACCTTCAACCTTCCAGCAAGCAATTGAAGGAGAACAAGATAACAAGCAGAAGGATATGATATTTTCCACCCGTGGTGATATCCATTTCATTCTGCTGGGAAAGCAAGTTCTGGGAATTCAGAACTAAGAAAAGGGAAAGTAGAATCTATGCATGTAATAGGAAGATGAGAGATCACACTTCAGGACACAAGTGCAAGGAGCCATGAACAAATGGGACAACTTTTTACAATCCTTTACAAGTGATTTGTCAGACCAGTTGGCTGGCCCTACCCCATTGGAAGGTTTTTGTTGTAGTAACATCTATCCATAAATTCTGGTCATAGAAAAAGTCTAGTGGGGTTCATGCACAGTAATTTAGTCCTAACGGTCTCAATACTGATGAGTTTAAGTCAGTATGATGGCAAGTTTGTGGCAAGCTTGAGCTACACAGTGAGACCACATCTCAACAAAAGAAAAAAAACTGAAAAAGAAAGAAGGAAGGAAAGGGAGGAGGAAAGGAATGGAAAGCAAGTCAGGTCAAACTGCATTCTGTATTTCACATGACCATTTCTTCAAGTGTTTTAACTCCACTTTCCCCTCCCCAGCGATAAATTTAAGGATTGTGTCCAGTTCTGTCCACTATTCCTCTACATTTTACTATAGAGATATTTTCTCAATCACATTTATTGCCACTGTATTCATAATAGAAGTTGGAAATAGCCTACCTACTTCCAAACAATCTATAAATTGATGTCTATTGATTGATGGATGATTAATAAAAGTGTAGTACATTCATGTAATTGAATATTATTCATCTATTAATAACAATTATAAAATTTGCAGTCACATGGATGGAACTAGAAGTAACTATTCCCAAGTAAGGTAACTCAGACTCAAAAAGACAAATATCATATGCTCTCTCCTATATATGAGTGTTAACTTTTAAGTTTTCAATACGGATATTCCATTCCAAATGACCACAGTTGCT